GGATCAAGATGCCTTAGCTACCATTGGCTGGCCCCCAAAAGCAGCATTCTAATCTTACCAGTTAAGTATCTCTACTCATATTGCTTCTCGCATCATTAAAAACAAGAGAAACCAGAGAAAACAATTAACCCCATTTGGATTAACCCCAAACCACAGTTCCCATGGAAAAGGGAGGTGTGGAAGCACAGAAAGAACTGACTCACCTGACTCACTGTGGGCCACCACCACGCCCAGCTCGTTCTCGGCAGTGGTCAGCAGGTAGTTTGACTGTGCGTCCCCAAGGGAGATCTAGTCACAGGACACTGGGTAAGGAAAACGAAGGTTCTAAGTCCCCCATAGCCACTCAAGTTGCTTCTTAACTCCCATCTCTTCTTTTGAAAAAGTACCAGCATCTGCTGGGAATAAAGGATACCACTTTGGCCAAGACAATGTCACCAGGGCGGAAACTCTTATAAATTTCAACCTGTAAGGAAAGAATATGCACTATGCATTAGTAGAGAGCTCATGGCCAGTTCTATATGAAACTCTTAACCCCTATAGAACAACCAGTCTACTTTTTTTTTTTTTTGGAGAGGTTTTTGCTATAGGGTGTGTGCGCTTGCCAGAAACACAGACAGAAAGTGAGAAATCACCCCCCAGGGGGAATGGCCACGCCGCAATCCCTTCTCCTCTATTCTCCTCTTGGGATCTTGGGCATGTACGCACACACGCCTGGTGTGAGTTTAAGCCACCGGGTCTGGGACTCAAACCATGGTCGACCATGTGAGAGTCCAGCAACATAGCCATTATGCTATCTGCTGGTCCCCAGCCAGTCTACTTTGTAATCGCAGAGGGCAGAACTCATCATTACCCAAGCCAGTCAACAACTGTCATCACTCTAAGAGCATTGGCACACAAAGAGAAGACTGTGAAGTCAGTAACCTGACAAAAGGTGCTACAGTGGGTTCTGATCAGAAGCACTACAGATTCACATTGAACACTGAGGTTAGAAAAGACCTCAAAGTTACATTATCTGGGGACCAGGTGGCATGGTGGTTAGGGGCGTTGGACTCCCACATGGCCAACCGTGGCTTGAGTCCCGGACCTGGTGGCTTACTTTCTCATTCACTCTCTCACGCACTCACTCACTCTGTCCCTCTCTGGTCAAATTAAAAAAAAAACAAAAAAAAAAAGAATGATTTTTTTTAACTTTTTATTTTTCCTTTTTTTTTTTTTTGATTTTTTTTTTTTTTTTTGCTATAGGGCGCGTGCGCTTGCCAGACAGACAGAGAGCGACATAGAGACAGAAAGCAAGAAATCACCCCCCCGGGGTGGGGGGGGACAGTCATTCCCAGGGGGAATGGCCACACTGCAATCCCTTCTCCTCCATTCTCCTCTTGGGATCTTGGGCACGCACACGCGCCCGGCGTGAGTTTTAAGCCACCGGGTTCGGGACGCGAACCGTGGTCGACTACGTGGGAGTCCAGCGACATAGCCATTACGCTAACTGCTAGTTCCCAATAAAATAATTCTTTTAAAAAAAAAGTTACATTACTTGGTCCAGAGGACATGCGAGGTAAAAGCAATGAATAAATAGCCCAGCTTCAAAGGTAGAGAATAATCTAGCCCGAGGCTGGCAGGTGGCGCAGTGGTCAAGGCGCTGGATTCCCACATGGCACTGGACCTGGTGGCTTGCTTTCTCACTTTCCTTCTCTGTCTCTGTCTGTCTCTCTCTGGTCAAATTTAAAAATAAATAAATTCTTTGGACTCTACATTCCCAACGACCTTTGAAAGTCATTGGGACTTTTTTTTCTTTTATAATTTCATGGTTTTCTTTTTTATTGAGAAACAGTTAAGAGAGTAGAGTTACTGGGACCAGCAGTTAGCATAATGGCTATGTTGCTGGACTCCCACGTAGTCGACCGCGGTTCGAGTCCTGGACCTTGTGGCTTAAACTCAGGCTGGGCGCGTGAGGGTGCGTGCCCAAGATCCTGAGAGGAGAATGGAGAAGGGATTGCGGCAAGGCCATCACCCCTGGGGGGGGTGATTTCTCACTTTCTGTCTCTCTCTTTCTGGTGAGCACATGTGCCCTATAGCAAAAACCTCTCCAAAAAAAGAAGAGAATAGAGTTATTACAGGGTACTTAATTAATTCATTTTAATTTGAACAGAGAGGTACATAGTGAGAGAGAGAGAAAGTGAGAGGCAAGCCGCCAGGCCTGGGACCCAAACCACAGTTGACCATGTGGGAGTCCAGCACCCTCAACCAGTACTGGCCCCAGGACAGTAATTAAGGGACTGAAAATTTTAAAGCAAAAACAAAAACCAAAACAAACCAACAACCTTGTCTTTTTCAGTTGCTCGGACATCTTCCTTGCTATGAGAAGAAAAAAACAAAACACAATTATCAGAAAGATTAATATCTATGAGGAGAATTACCCTGCAGGTTCCTAGCAGACAGCTAAGACAGCTACGAGAATGGATAGAACAAGTCAGGTGTGGGTCCCAGCTGCCACCAGAAAAGCATGATGGACATGCACAGTCCTCCCTGAGAGGAAAACAGTACTTTTTCCATTCTTGGATCAAACAGAGCAACACTGTCAACACCTCTGGCTAGAGAACGCGGTCGGAGTTAGCAGGAA